CACCCACACCCACACCCACACCCACACCCACACCCACACCCCACACCGACACCCACATCCACCCACACCCACACCCACACCCCTACCAGTCAAGTAGCTCAAAGTACCATCCAAGTAGATCAAAGTACCACCCAAGTAGTTCAAAGTAACTTAAAGTCGAAAAGTTCGCCATTTCCCCCTTGGATGAAAGCATTGAAAAATACAACAGACATTTCTATCTGGTGATGTTTCTCAAGGATTAGCTAGACGACATATGTCTGTCGCCGTTAGTTCACGTCCAAATACACGAAATTCATCGACACTGCCATAGAATTGCCCAGTGGCAATTAATCCAGCATTACAGGTACTTGAACCGGTCGGTGATGCTCCGATAAAAGCATATGGACCAACAGGTGTACCTGTAGGTGCACTGACACTTGTGATCAGAACTCCACCGATGTATAAACGACTTCCACTGGTCGAGCTAAATGTTTGTGCCACGTGTGTCCATGTATTCACTGATAAAGTCGATGAAGCAGTAGCTGAGACAGCACTATTTGAGGAATTGACAACATTGACTGTCACCGAGCCAGACGAAGTCAAACCCCACATGGTCAGACATGTGCCTGTACCTAAACATATTCATCCATACTTGTTAGATAACAAACAATTATACACTTTATGAATTGACATAGAAGTGAACTTCTTCTAGGAGATATGATATGTTACAATAACGAGATAACGGAGAAAAGGGATTTTCACGATAATTATCAAATGTCAGACATTTTTGGAAGCAGTATATATCTGAGAATATCTTATTCACAGTCTTCAGAATGAGCTTAAGAATAATTGTTCTATACTATCAGCAAATTCTTCAGAAAAGAAAACACAACAGACCGTTCGCCAGCGATGCACAATGGATAAGAGTCGCCCCACCAGTAACACTCGTTGGATTGATCCACGTTGAAATAGTGAAAACGTTATACTGAGGCAACAATGCTGATATTCCGCTGATAAGAATATATGATAATGAAGAAGTGAAGGCCCATGCTTGATTGACTCGACCAATGACAGATGTGGCTCCTGTATTGATGGCAGTGAGAAAATTGGGACCGGAGTCAAGAAGAGGCGCATTCGAGTCAAATGGAAAATAACAGGCAAGAGCAGCATTGAGATAGATCTCACAAGCAGTTTTTGCTCGATAGCTGATCGTCAAGTGATCAATGTAGCCAGAATAATAAACATATAAATTGGTATTACCACCGATCGTAGCACCTCCGATGGTGAAAGGACCCGATGTTGTTTGAAGAAGGTTAGCGGATGTGCGTCCCACTAACAGTCCGTTCATATATATGTATTGTTTAAGAGTAGAATTATCAAAGACAAAAGCAGCGTGATACCACTGATTAGGAGAAACCGTTGTGTTTCCGGCTGTGTCATCGTTAAAAAAACCAAAAAAAAGAACTCGCTTATGAATGTTGATAAATAGACATAAATCTGTTTTCTGTGTCGTACATTCGCCCACAAAAGCAAAATTTATTGTAGAGTTAACATCAGTAGCATAAAACCAAAAATCGATGGTGAAGGTACGCAAGTTCAACGGAATGTAAGCTGTTGAAAGGCGCTGAGCATTGGAAGCCGTGAAACTAATAGCAGAGCCAACCCATCCGGTCACGTAAGTTGGTGAGGAAATGCCACTTGCCGAATAATTACCAGTAGCATCCGTAGTGGTTGAATCAAAGGAGTAAAAGGCAACCCGTGACAATGTTGAGATACTAGTATTCACGCATGTCGATCCACAGATAGGGGTTGCAGTAGTTATTGTTGTAACTGTTGTTGTTGTAGTTGTCGTTACAGTGGTAGTAGTTACTGTTGTTGTTGTTGTTGTTGTTGTAGTTGTCGTTACAGTAGTAGTAGTTACTGTTGTTGACATCATGCTTCCTGTTGTCGTTGTAGTCATCGCTACGATTTTCGTGAATAAAAAGAGTAAACAAGTGCAAACGCCCGTTTTATTATTGTTTTCTCACCCACAAGTATAGATCGAAAAGAGATGACCCTTCGATATACTCTGCTGACTATTGGTTAATCTTCTTTGTTCGATTAAATGCTCCGAAAAGGAGGGTTAGTCGATTTTATGTATACTATTTCATATAGTAAGAAAATCTTTATCTTAATGATAGAAAGAAAAGAGTGCAAGATGTGAGAAAAAGTAAATAGCCTTAAATAAAAATCCATAATACAATTGCTTCGAATAGATTTAAACTGATAGAAATTTTCAATGGCTTTCCTCATTGTGACCGATGGATCGTGGATTTTTCGACGCGTGATGTAGTTTCCTTCTCATCTCCTTATGCAAAAAGTTCACATGAAAGAGTGAGAGAGCTACTTTCTAGTAAAATAATTCGTACCCAGTACATAAAGATGAAATTTGATACTCACTCGTAGAACTTCTCAAAAATAAAGCAAGTAGAACGGTAATCGTAGCACATATTGCACACACGACTAGCACGGCTGTGATGATTTTACATGCGGGCGACAAGAAAAAGCTTCTCCGCGTTCTCCTATGGTAAGTTCATGACAATAAAGAGGTTCTTTTTTTCTTATCTTTTTCTTACTTGACCTTCGATGGGATCTTTTTAATTTTGGAAAAATCAGTGTTGAGCTTCTGTGGTGAAGGATGAAATGGACGACCTTGCTATTTTACAAAAAAAGAAAACAAATTTTTCTTGCTTAATTAGTTTCTTGAGTTGAACTTACCGAATTCTTTGTCTTGGTGAATGTAGGCAAGTACAAACCCGACGAGTATGCACTACTCGTTGGCATTTTCTTCTATGCTCACTAAATTGTTCGATATAATTATGTGATTATATAAATTTATATTCTATAACACCGAGCAACGGTTACCCAACTTTTTTCCTATGCACTACTATACAAAGAACAGAAGGATGCCCGTCTCTGAACAATATTTTCGCGTGCACATAGGAAATGTTGGTTTCTTCTATGTAAAAGTGGTTTACCTAGATCAATGCAGTTCCATTAAAATGTTCGAATTGTATTCTCATATTTGAAATAATATGAGAGAAAGAGAATGTGACACAATCTTGAAGGATTACATCAACAACATTGAAATTAGCGACGGTGCAATTTTTCAAGACTAAAAACTACACTTTGTTTGGGTTTCAAAGCGTTTTATCGCCAAAAAACTCATAGAAATACAACTTCATTTTCCACTCAAGTTTATCATTAACTATCTTGATAGTAAACGGAATACGACAGATAATGAAGTACGTGAAGTCAACTATCTCAATCTCCGACTCGTTCGACTAGAAATGATATTAAATATCCCTCATAAGGCTCACGGAAATGTGGAAAATTCTTATTCAGTTTCACTAGGTCAGTCAGCTGCATCTAGCAAAAGTAAACAAATGAAATCAGTCGAGAGTATGCGCAATTAAAAATATTTCGTTGTTATTAATGTCATTGCTCGTTTTTTGTGTTGTTAACAGAAAGAAAAACATTCGCTTTTTTCTACGCTTTGTACATTTCTTATTTTGTGAGGATTCACTAACAACCAATTTTGTTTCCTATGAAAACAAAATTTATCCGTTTTATTAGATTTCATTCTCTTGCACAGAACGACAAGTGTTTTTGATCATGAATAATAATGGATCCGTTATTTTGCTGAAAACAACAACAAAACCAATATTCAATTTTCATGGGGCAAGTATTGGAAAGAATATAGCACTTTGAAAAGGACCTTTTATTAATGTGACTGTTATGCTGGATCTTTCCATGACAGACACAACAGACAACGAACATGTCATACATACGGACAAAAAACAAGAATAATCAATTTTCCATGCGACATCTCTAACTAACGAGTGCGCCAGGATAAACTGACCTCTTCGTATTTTGCAAGTATCTCTCTCAAATTGTGACGTATACATTCCTTTTTTTTTGTATTTTGACAAGTCAACACCATTGCGTTATTTATATATATATAATAATAAATGAAAATAATAATAAACAAAAATAAATAATAATATAATAATTTTTTTGTCTTTTTTTAAATTTTTTTAACATTTTTATTATTTGTAATACAATAGAAAAATAATAAGAGAAGAAGGAGAAAAAACAAAAGGAAAAGAAATAGTAAGAAGATTATTAATATGAATAACACGAGGCCTTTCGAATTATCTTTTTCAAGCGATTTTTTATATATAGAAGCAATTGAATATAGTTGTAGGAAAAAGTCATTGGATGTTGGAAAAATAATTGGATGTTGCAGGAACAACGAGGTATATTGTATATAGTTGTAGGCAAAATAATTGGACGTTGAGAGGGCAATAAGTTAGACTATGGGTATTAATGTGGTGTTGGTTTGTTTTTAATGTATTTTAATGCATTTTTGATAGTTGTCCCGTAATGCGCTTTAATATAGTTTTTCATAATGTATTTTAATGCATTTTTTATAATGTGTTCTAATGCATTTTAATGCATTTTTTGATGTTTGCTCTCCGTCATATTGTTTTAATTTTTCATAATGTGGCTGAATGTTGCTCTATATAATTTAATGTATTACTGGATATTTTTTGATAATGTTGATGTAAGTTAATGTATTATTGGATTTTTTTTGATAATATTCATGTGGATGTGGGTGAAAGAGAAACCACAACGACCACACCAACATCCACACACACGCTGGTTTTCATAGCATGGCCCTGCTAGCCAATGTTCGATGTTCTCAGGGACTGTCTCGTAAATATAATACTCACGCCGAACAGCAAACAGACAGAATGAGAAGAAGAAAACGGAATGCAGCTACACAACAGATGACGCATGCAAGAGAACAAAAAGAAAAATGCGTGAACGTCGATGTTGCTTTGAGTGTGGGTGTGTGTGGGGTGTGGGCATGGGCGTGGGTGTGGGTGTGGGTGTGGATGGGTGGGTGTGCGTGTGGCTGGGTGTGAGTGTGGGGGTGGGGGTGTGGTGGGGGTGGGGGTGGGGGTGGGGGTGGAGTGGGGGTGGGTGTACGGTGGGTGTGGGTGTGAGTGTGTGTGGATGTGTGTACGGGTGTTGTATTTTTCTTTTTCCATACCAACACCCTACACAGACATCCATACCCATACCCATGCCCACACCCATCCACACCCAACCCACACCCACCCACACCCCACATCCACACCCACACATTCACCCACACCCACACACCCACTCACGCCTACCCATCACACCCACACACTCATGCCCACACATCCACACACACCCACACCCCACACCCACACCCACCCACACACCCCACACACACCCACACACCCCACACACACCCACACACCCCACACACACCCACACCCATCACAGCTTTCAAATA